CATTTTAACAGTATTCCTACATGAGCTTGGGATGTTTTTCCATTTGTTTGTATCCTCCTCTTCAGTTTCTTTCATCAGTTATTTGTAATTTTCCTTGTACAGGTTTTCACCTTCTTGGTTAAATTTATTCCTGGGTGGTTTTTTTTTTTGTAAGTATTATAAATGGGTTTGCCTTCTTGATTTCTTTTTGAACTAGTTTGTGTATAGAAATGCTGCTTATTTTCAAATGTTGATGTTTGTATCCTACAACTTTACTGAATTAGTTTTTTGGTGGAGTTTTTAGGTTTTCCTGTATGTAAGATCATGCCATTTGCAAACACAGACAGTTTGACTTCATCTCGATTTGGATGCCTTTTATTTCTGTTGCCTAATTGCTCTAGCTAACAGGAATTGTTACTTCTGATTGGGCCTGTGGGAACTTTTAATTTTATATCCTTATGTAACATTATATTTATTTTGCTATGAGCGTGTGAATTTCATAATGTTAAGAAAATAAAACTCAGTAGTTTTCAGTAACTGTCAGTAGTAAACCAACAACCACTAACTGGCCCTAGGTTTCCTAGGTGAGTTAGAAATCTAATGGAAGTTGTCTGGGAATCTGTATCCTAACAAGTGCTTCAAGTGTTCTTCATGGTGAGGTAACTCTGCTAGCGAAAAGAACAAGCATGCACGCAAATAGGCATCATTAAGATTAAGAGGAAATTACCATAGAGAGAAAATTTAAAGAACAAGACTATTTTGAATGATGCTGAACTAAGAAATTTGGAGGTGACAAATGTAATTTACCAAATATTTTTGAGATAACAAACCTGGTTTATTTCAAATAACATGGAAGAAACTGAAACACATATCAGAGCTATAGCCTATCCTGTATCATAGATGAATTCTTTCAAATATTCATGGAACACATAATTCTTAATCTATTCAAAGCATTTCATAGCAGAGAGAAAAAAGTAGTCTGCTGATTCTTCTAACATAGCCAACATAACATCAATTCCATAACCTGACATAGATTATATATTTTTTTTTTAAAAAACCTAATTGTTTAAGATTGTGGTTAAAATATTTTATACATATTATTTGAAAAGTAATAATACCATTTCTAAATGAAATTTATTACAAGTATCAAATGCTGGCTCAATATTAGGATATATATTAATATACTCATTAATATCAATAGACCAAAGATTAAAATGATGATCTATTAGCTTTCTCTCAAAAATGCGCATGACAGAATTAACATCTATTTGTGGTTTTTGAAAATATAAAACCAAAACCAAGTCTGTTAGAGGAGTGGAACTAACTGAATAGTTTCTTAACAAAGATGTTGCCGAGTATTAACCAGTATCATGCTTAATATAAAACAAATTTTGAACAAGACTATAAATAAATTCCTATCCCAAGTGAGAGCTCAATGTATTCTGAAAAATTCTTAGTTCTAAAGACTATTTTGAAGAATAAGTATTTGAGAATAGTCCAAACATTTCTAAACAAGGAGAAAAAAATGTGAGGGCTGAACTAGTCCTATCAAATATTTAAATATTATAAAACTAAAGTAATTAAAACATTATGTTACAGGTCCAGAAATAGCTATACAGAACTTTGTAACATAAGGGGTCCAGAAATCAGCACATATAAATATATGAGTAGCTTTTCAAGTTACTGGAGAAAAGGTGAGTTTTTTCATAAATAATTAACTATTGAGGATGATCAAGAGATTACCTAATTTGTTTCTCATTCCAAAATAAATTCTACTTTGGTCAGACTTACATATTTTCAGTATCATTAATAAATATTCTAGAAGAAAACATTTATAATGACTATTCAAAGTACGGCAAAGCCATAAAGGGGGAAAATGATAAATTTGTATAAAAATTGTAAAATTCTGTGATGGGACTGTAAGCTAATTTAACCTTATGGAAAACATTATGAAGATTTCTCAAAGAACTAAAAATCGAATTACCGTTTGACCCAGCAATCCCACTACTAGGGAGCTACCCAAAGGGAAATAAATCAATATATAAAAAAGATAACTGTACTCATATGTTCATTGCAGTACTAGTCACAATAGCAAAATCATGAAACAAATCTAAGTGCCCACCAACAATTGACTAGATAAAGAAAATTTAGTGTATATATAATAAGAATACTATGTAGCCATAAAAAGAATGAAATCATGTCCATTGGAGCAACATGGATAGAGCTGGAGATCATCATCCTAAGTAAACTGACTCAAACAGAAAACCAAGCACCTGTATGTTCTCACTCATATGTGGGAGCTAAATGGTCACAGAGATGGAAATAACAGACACTGGGGACACCAATAAGGGGGGAGGTGAGAAGGGGGGTTAGGGTTCAGAGATTGCCTATGAGGTACAATGCTCACCATATGGGGACACAGGCCACCTGAGACCCAATCCCCACCACTACACAATATGTCCATATAACGAACATGCACGCGTACCTCCTGAATCTAAAATAAAAATGAAAAAAAATGATTAAAAAATAATAATAATCCCAGCCAAACACGGTGGCTCGTGCTTGTAATCTCAGCAAGACCAGCCTGGGCAACATAGCAAGACCTCATCTCTACAAAAAATAAATTAGCTGGGCATGATAGTACACGCCTATAGTCCCAGCTAATTGGGAGCCTGAGTTGGAAGGATCACCTTAGCTCTACTCGACAGTGCAGTGAGCTGTGGTTATGTTGCTGCCTTCCAGCCTAGATGACAGAGTGAGACCTCTGCCTAAAAAAAAATTAAAAAATTAAAAATTAAAATTCTGTACCACCAAAAATGGCTTTTTAAAAAAATAGATAAACTAGGAAATGAATAAAGAAGACCAATAACTCATTGTAAAGTTGGTAAAGGACATGTTGGAAAATTCACAAGAAAAGAAATACAAATGGCTAATACATGGAAAACTTTTAATAAATTATGAATTAAAACAAGTGAGTTTCTGGCTTCGTTTTTGAATACTCCCTCCTTGTTTCTAACCATTCCCTGGGTATCTCCCCGGAATAGCAACAAACTACTTACTGTTATCTCCTTTAAGTTCTTACCTTTTTCTAGCATATTCCTGGCATGTATTAGATGTTCTGTTATATAAACAAAAGTATCTAAGAGGTATAATGATCTCCTAAGAGTTGTCAGGTGACCAGAAAAGAGTAGAGGATAAGGGCAGTAATCACAGTAAAATATGTCTGCATGGCCTGTGAGGCTGTGTGGCCTTCCTTTGTTGATTCCTTTCCCTCATGGTTCTGTTAATGGTGTTAACCTGCCTCATGATCCTCTTTACCTTTCCAGATTTCTTCAGAAGCACATGCACGTTAGTGGCAGGAGCAGGAACTTGTGCCAGTGCTCATCAGTCAGCAAAAATGACTCTCTTTGTGCATATAAGCAAATGGTTATTATTGTTGAGATACATTGCTTAACCATCAGTAGGTATTTCCTTTGCAGTTCTGTGAATACTTTTTTTCAGACTTAATACCACAACCTCTCAAGGTACCTTATCTTTCTTTGAGTGTTTGGGAAAAGGAGAAAATAGACTAAATCTACTCCTTCTCTACAATAAGTTGTATTATTTGAGAAAGTGCTTTAAAATGAAACCTAGTTTTAAGATAAATGTATAAGCCGGGCTCAGTGGCTCAGCCTGTAATCCCATGCCTTTGGGAGGCCGAGGTGAGTGGATTGCCTGAGCCCGCGAGTTCGAGATCCGCCTGGGCAACTTGGCAAGACCTCATCTCTACAATAAATCAAAAAATCAGCCGGGCGTGGTAGCGTGTGCCTATAGTTCCAGCTACTTGGAAGGCTGAGGCGGAAGGATCGCCGGAGCCCAGCAGGTCGAGGCTGCGGTGGCAGAGAGCGGCCACTGCACTCCAGTCTGGGCGACAGAGTGAGACTCCAACTGAGGAAAAAAAAAGATAAATGTATAATGTCTGTATAGTAGAAATCTGCTTCAGCCTTTGGAGTTATAATTTAGTCTAGTAACCTGAAATCCTCTTTTTCAAGTCAGATATTTACTTGTAGTAGCCAGTCTGAAAATACTTATTCAATTACTAGAGTAATTGATCATTGTAGACCCTTGAATGCGTTCATGCTTTTTTTTTTTTTTTAAGGACAAACAAAACTTTGTGCTGTTTTAAAAAATGGTATAACCTCAATTTGGAATATAAGGGAGTGGGGGAAGCCCCTACTATTAACCTCACCTAACAAAACTGCTGGTGGAGTTTTTTGATGTAGTTCCCAAATTTGTGTGTATGTGGTTAAAATAATGTATCTTACTTTTCTTTCCCCACTTAAGAGAGCCTTAGCATTTCCCCATGTTGTTATATCATCATGTTAAGACTCTAAATGGCAGCTTAATAATGTTAGTCACATGATCCTGCTGTGTAAACAGTGCTTATGAAGAAGAGTGGATGGCATGTAGTTTCTTTTTTTTTTTTTGAGTTGGAGTCTCACTCTGTCACCCAGGCTGGAGTGCAGGGGCATGCTCATGGCCACCCCAGCGTTGATCCGCTGGCTTCCGGCGATCCTTCTGCCTCAGCCTTCCAAGTAGCCAGAACTACAGGTTCATACTACCATGCCCGGCTAATTTTTTTATTTATTGTAGAGACGAGGTCTCGCCAAGTTGCCTGGGCTGGTCTCAAACCCGTGGGCTCAGGCAGTTCACTCGCCTGGGCCTCCCAAAGTGCTGGGATTACAGGCTGAGCCACCGAGACCAGCCGGCATGTTGTTTCTTTAAAAATGTGACTATTAATGAAAAACAGTGATTCTAATAAAATTGCTGAGTACATAGATTTTAGTAAATGGTAGAATGATCATTTTCTTATTGTGAGGTCAGGGATTTTTTTGTTTCAGAACAGATGAACCTGAAACTTGAAGCTGGTTGTCAATTGAGAGTATTATAGCATATATTAGGTACTTATTTTAGATAAATTAAAAACAAGCTCAATATCTGCTTAATTTTGAACAGAGAATTTTTGTCAGGAATCTTAATTTAACATTGTGTTCCTTTATAGATCATGGAGCTTTGTGGTGCAAAAAGACTTGGTTATTTTGGAAGAAGTCAGTTCTACATCGCTTTGAAACTTGTAGCTGTTGCCCAGTCTGGTTTTCCTTTAAGAGTGGAAAGTATAAATACAGGTAAACATGGAGTACACTAGTAACCAAAATGAAAACAGGCTTCTATTACAAATAAAGTCAGTAGAACTCTTGAGTCTTTCTGGTATTATAGAGGCATTTGTGAACTTACATGAAGTGTCATGACTTTATTTCCAATACCTTGCATTTCTCATTTGAGAATATTAGAGAAATATGTTTGTCTTATATTTGTTATGGCATAGAATATGTACTTCATACATATTTGATGATATATGTACCATTTAAATGATAATTTTTTATAATTAATTTTACTAAAAATTACTTAGAAATAATTTAGGTGAATTCTTCTATCAGGGTAAGTGATGAAATTGTAGTGACCATCTTCATATTTAGGGGTTTTTTTTCTTTGATTCGGAATCTCAGTCTTTCACCCAGACTGAAGTACACTGATAGGATCATGACTTACTGTAGCCTTGAATCCACCTTTTTCAGTCTCCCAAGTAGCTGGGACTGTAGACATGCGCCACCACACCTGGCCAAATTTTTTATTTTTTGTAGGGATGAGGTCTTGAATTCCTGGGCTCAAACAGTCATCCCACCTTGGCCCCTCCCAAAGTGCTAGGATTGCAGGTGTGAGCCACTGCACCCAGCCAGAACAACCTTATACTTTGTGGGGTTTTTTGTTTGGAAAGGCTAGGAAGGCTTCAACTGAAATTACAAAGTACAGTTAACCTTAACTTTCTGAGTGATAGAGACAGTATTGAAATATTGGCAGACTAAAACCTAGTTGCAGACATCTGATCACCTTATAAGTGTCACCCTAGATAATTTATTTTTTAGTTATTCGGAAGCTTATTGATGTGGAAGAAGATAGAAATTTTATAAAGACAGGTACTTAAGTGCAGAGGGACCTGTTGTTTTCGTAGAGAAAAGGGGAAAGAGGTAAATTGAGAATTTTTTAAATCTGTAAGTTACAGAAAATTTTCTGTAAAATCTGTAAATATCAGAATTCTTATTAATAAAAATAGTTTGAAGTACCAGCTTAGTTTATTGGTCAGCTGGAGGTTTTTACTGTGGACCTCTGGTTTGCCACATATCATTTTTCTGGTGTTAAGAGTTCTAAAAAAAGACAAAGGTAATCACATAATGGAGGGAAGTGCACTTTCCTTTGAAAATGACTGCAGCTGTTTTGTTCTAGTCTTAAATTGTGACTTATGATTTACCTGCAGAGAATTTCTCAGTCTTTCATCTTTCTCCTCTATTTAAAATTGAGTGTTGCATATCTGACCAGTAGGAGAGTCAAAAGCCAGACCCCAGTGGTTAGAGGGAATGCTGTGCACCATGTCCTTGGTAGGTTAACAGTAAGGTATATTTAGGAATTTCCAACATGAGTCATAGTGGCATATTCTTTGTTTACTTAGAGCTCTATAAGCTTACTTCAGAGACCCAATATGAGTAGAAGCAGCCTAGGCTTTGGGGTCTGGCTGACCTAGGTTCGGGTCTTAACTGTCAGTTACTGTTTGTGACCTTGGCATCTCAGAGCCTCAGGTTCCTTATCTGTAAACAGGGGCTTTGCAGGATTGCCATGGTTGAGATGAGGTAAATATAAGGTGACAGGTGTAGGACCAGGCATAGAGTATACATTTAATATAGCTATTGTTATGCTATAGGAGAGGGATCACCAGTAGCAGGACATTGCCGGGGAGGGGGATGGCACATAACATCGCTAAGGGTATCTGATCCTAAACCAGGGGAAGTGAGGACCAGATGGAGGCCCAGATTTCACCTGTACAAGACTACTTATGCACCTAATTCTGACTTGTACCCCACATCTTTATAATAAAATTAAGTTTATATATATGTGCATGCACACACATAGCTATTATTATCACCTTTTAGAGGGACTAAAAGGTTTTACTACTTCTTTCTAGGTAAAAGTCTCCATAAACAATCTAACAGAGATGATGTTCCCAATTTTGTAGAGATAGACTGTTCCTCTTATTTCTGTTTTTGAAAAATTCTAATATCTAATTTGTCTCTTATTTTAGTTTTTAATGTATGTCCTTTTTAATTTTAAAGTAATAATTATTTTTGTGGTTAACAGTAAAGGACCTTCCTCTGCCAAGATTTGTTGCTTCAAAGAATGAACAGGAATCTCGCCATGCAGCCTCATATTCTTCCGATTCTGAAAATCAAGGATCTTATTCTGGTGTAATTCCTCCACCACCTGGCAGGGGGCAAGTGAAAAAGGGATCCATAAGCCATGATACAGTTCAGCCTCGTACATCTGCAGATCCACAGGTAATTGCATAAATTTTATCCGTTGATGTCCTGTGTAGATGTTTGCATGAAAACATTTGTTGGTAGCTTAATATTTCAAATGTCTCCTTGAAATTAAATGTTTTAAAAAATTATATTCTTTTTAGGAACCTGCATCCCCAGTAGTTTCACCACAGCAGTCGCCACCAACTTCTCCCCACACATGGAGGAAGCACAATCGTCATCCCAGTGGGGGGAATAGTGAGAGGCCTCTTGCAGGACCTGGGCCGTTTTGGTCTCCCTTTGGTGAAGCACAATCAGGTATTCCAAGACTCTTTTTTTTTTAAGAGTCTCACTGTGTTGCCCAGGCTATTCTCACACTTCTGGACTCCAGTGATTCTCCTGCCTCAGTTTCCTGAGTTGCCAGGATTACAGGCTCGTGCTATTTCCCGACTTAGAGATTCTTTAAAAGTAACAATTATTTAGGATTGTAAATTGAAGGAAACTTGATAACATTCCTTTAAGAGTTACTTTCAAGCTAATTTTAAATTGTAAGTTAAGTTAAATAGAAGCAAAAGCTAATTATGAAAAGGTATAAGTAGATTACATCACTTTGGAAAGTGTTAGTTGCATTTACTTAAATCTGTGATGCTTATACAAAAATGTATGCATACCAGATTCTCAGGTAAAATGAATCATTATCATATATATTAGGTATATGCCATATTAGGTATATACTATATAAATTGTGTTGGTATTGACAAGGAGAGTCAGAGTAATTAAAAATATTTAAATGAGGTATAACTTTAAATTGGTCACAAAAGATTCCATTTTGGAAGTGGTTAGATTTCTTAAAAGTTAGAGTTTGAAAGAGAACTTCCTGGTAACTTTCTATTTTTCCTCAAACGTAAGTCAGCATGCTTACCCATTCTCTTTTAGGTTCCTCTGCTGGTGATGCAGTGTGGTCAGGCCATTCTCCACCTCCACCTCAAGAAAACTGGGTCAGTTTTGCAGATACTCCACCAACCAGTACTCTTTTAACCATGCATCCTGCTTCTGTCCAGGTGTGACATTTTATTGGTATTGCATTTTTATTTGCTTCATTCAGAGTACTGCTGCAGTCATGTTTTTATATTTTGCTGTTGCAAATTTTATAAATGCGAGTACACTCTTTATTTAAAAAAAAAAAAAGCACTGTGCCTTTTCAAGTCTGTTATCATTGGAATGTTTCAGCTGATTTTATTTCTGTTTCTAGTTCCCTAGTAAAGTTTTGAAAGTTTTCTGCATCTGGGAATATATTTGCTTGGCTTTCTTAGCACATTTTTCATAACTTTCTGTTGCTTACATAATTGCTATCATTCTACACATTTATATAATCATTGTGCCAAAACATATCCAATAACCTGACTATAATACATACATGGTTTGTTGATGACTTCTTACATTTTAAATGTCCACAAAAAGTAAGTTTCACTTTCCCAATAAGTAACCTAGCAATCTTGGTCCATAAAATCATGTAGATAGATACTGTACTGAGGAAAAAATGTTTCATTACAGGACCAGACAACAGTACGAACTGTAGCATCAGCTACAACTGCCAATGAAATTCGTAGGCAATCCAGTAGTTATGATGATCCCTGGAAAATAACAGATGAACAAAGACAGTATTATGTAAATCAGTTTAAAACCATTCAGCCTGATCTAAACGGATTTATTCCAGGTGAGTTATTAAAAACAAAAGTTCTTGTAGATGGAACAGAACAATGTCTCAATTTCATAATCTCAAAGACATTGTTTTGTCGGACTTTGATTTTACTTATAAAAGGTATCTAGTTCTCAAGTCATTTGACAAAAAAGAGTTTATAATCACTGGGGACTGAAAATATGACATAGTCACATATTAAGCTTACCTTTTTCCCAGTGAAAAAAGTCTAAGACTCTTACTTCACATTCTGTTCTTGAGTCTGTAAGTTGAGAATAACATTAAACAATAACTGTTTTAATATTTCAGGATCTGCAGCTAAAGAGTTTTTTACAAAATCAAAACTTCCTATTCTTGAACTTTCTCACATTTGGTAAGTGTGGTATATCAGTTGGGCGATGTGACTTGTTTCAAAGGAGTTTCTAGCAGGTAGATTTTAGAACCTTAAAAGATAAATTATTAGAAAAATAACCTCTTTAGGAATGTTCTGAAAGAAGTCAGTGTTGCCTTACAATAACCAGCTTCTCTCTTACCTTGTAGAAAAGAAATAAGTGATACAGGTGCAGTAGTTCTTTGTAAAGTGCTAATATTCTTTAAGCTGTATCAGCTGGTCTTTTTGTTGCTAGCATAAAGCCTGGCATAAAAGCTAGTTTGCACATACTAGCTTTTATGGGTTATGTTTATCCCAGCTGTGAGTTTAGAACAGTGCTTAACTCCCATTTCAACACAGACTACGACTCAGGATAGCTGCCATATAGTTGGAATTGGCCATTACAACATAGAGTGCAATCACAAAATGCTTTTTAAAACAATTACCAGGTAAATCAAGAACTAGCAATACATGCATGCTATTTATAGTTTAAGGCAATAAGTACAAAAGTGGTTGCCTCTGTATCTAGGAAATGGCAGGGACAGCAAGCTGGTAGCTGTATTGTTGTTTCCAGCCTTGTAGTTCTACTTGGTGCTTGAAAGTACATACATGTTGAAGTTTCATAACACTAAAAACAAAAGTGTGAAATATTTTAGTGGACCAGGCATGGTGGCTTAGCCTATAATCCCAGCACTTCGGGAGGCCAAGAAAGAGGATTGCCAGAGCCCAGGGTTTCAAGACCAGCCTGGGCAACTTGGTGAGATCTCGTCTCTACAGTAAATCACAAAAACTAGCTGGGCGTGGTGGCATGTGTCCGTAGTTCCAGCTACTTGGAAAGTTGAAGCAGAAGGATCGCCTAAGCCCAGCAGGTTGAGGCTGCAGTGGCTGTGAGCATGCCACCGCACTCCAGCCTGGGTGACTAAAGTGAGACTCCAACTAAAAAAAAAAAAAAAAAAATTTAGGGACTTATTACATATGCCTTACTTATCTAAACCCTGCTGCTAAAAATGCATACAAGTTAGAGATCACTTTTTGTGAGGGGAACCTTAACTATAAGGGCTATTTTTTAGCATTTTATTATGAGAATTTCAATCATACTGGAACGTTTACTGAATCATACCATGAATACTCACATGTCCACCACCTAGTTATACAGTTACCATTTTGCTATATTTACTATATTATACTTCTTTACATCTGTAGAATTTTTATAGTTACTGGCTTTTTGAACTTGCTTAGGGAAAGTATTTCCCTTCTTTCTTTTTGAAAAATAAAGGGATCCAAAGTAGAATGTGATTATTATATTCACAATAAGTTTGTCTTCTAGGGAACTCTCAGACTTTGATAAAGATGGTGCGTTGACACTGGATGAGTTTTGTGCTGCTTTTCATCTGGTGGTTGCTAGGAAGAATGGCTATGACTTACCAGAAAAACTTCCTGAAAGCTTAATGCCCAAACTGATTGATTTGGAAGATTCAGCAGGTAAGATTGGTAGCTGAAGAGAGCTGGTTGCATACCTTGATAAACATACTGCTTGATTTTGAAACAGAATCACAATAGATGTTAAAACTTAGCTTGATAGCTCAGACATTTCATGAAGAGCACGTGGATTTGCCATTAGAAAGATGTACAGGCTGAACTTGATTTTGTCTTATCCAGTCAACTTTTAAAATAGAAGTAAAGAGTATATGCCACTCTTTTATTGTTACATTTGTGACTTTCTGATATTTGAAGAGCTTTTCACAGTATCTTCTAAGTTTGTCATCCTTTAATTGCATTGCATTTTGTTGGAAGTGAGTAAACTAACCTGTCTACTTTATAAACAGTTTTCCATTTAATGCATCTTAATTTGTTGAAGGGAAATAACCTGGTTCATCATTGGACCTTTGCAGTAACAAGCATTTTCCTTTAAGATACCAGGCTCAGCTGGGCTCAGTGGCTCAGCCTATAATCCCAGCGCTTTGGGAGGCAGAGGTGAGTGGATTGCCTGAGCCCGCAGGTTCAAGACCAGCCTGGGCAACTTGGCGAGACCTCATCTCTACAATAAATCAAAAAAAAAATTAGCCAGATGTGGTAGCGTGCGCCTGTAGTTCCAGCTACTTGGAAGGCTGAGGCGGAAGGATCGCCGGAGCCTGGCAGGTTGAGGCTCTGCACTCCAGTCTGGGCGACAGAGTGAGACTCCAACTCAAAATAAAAAAAAAAGATACTAGGATTTCTTCTGCAGACTCTAAAGAGATCTGGGAATTTTGTTTTTGATGTTAGAGACTGCTGTCTTGTTAACAAGAATGCTAAATGTTCACACTTACTCATAGTTTTCTTTAAGAGGAAAAGAATATCAGAGGTTAAAAATTTGTGCGTTTTTTGGGGGAGAGCACCACAACATCAATAAGCGTACCTGATCTCAAACCAGGCAAAGTGGGAACCAAGGGGAGACCCAAACTGAGCCCTGTACCATGACCACTTGTATACCTAATCCTGAATTGTACCCCACATCTTTAAAATAAAAAATAAATTTGTACATATTTGTTAAATTCTGAGTAGATAAAAGGAAACTTAATGTTTAAATTGTGTGTGTGTGTGTGTGTGTGTGTGTGTGTGTGTGTGTGTGTGTGAAAGCAGGATTTACTGAGAGAACAGAAAAGCTCCCACAGTGGGAGGGGACCCAATGGGATTGCCCAGTGTTTAAATTCTTAATGAGCCTAGTTAAAACAAAATTATTGTCCTCAGTGTTCCTATCTAAGTTCTCTTTTGGATATGAGAATGGAAGGAATTTGGTACTTTTGAAAAGGAAGTTAAAATAGAATTTGGCTCTTAAAAAGGCATTTATTGGTCAGGCAGCATCTCGTCAACCTAAAAATATGCATGGTCTGACTTCATTATCTAAACTATACACAAGGAATCACATACATGAAATCGCTGTCACTAAGAAAATGATCTTCCTTGGTGTAAAAAATCTGAGTGTCCCTCTAGTTTTGCTAATATGGCTTGTGACCTTGGGCAAGTTCTAACCATTTACTCAATTTTTCTTTTCTGTTTCTCCACCTGAAATGTGGATTTGATGCCATTCACATTTCAGGATCTGAATTGTACACTGACTTCTTATCAACAAATACGTTAATTTTTTAAATATATCATTGATGTTAATTTTTTAGGAACATTTTCCTCTAAGAATCCTAGGATTTTTCCAATTATTTCAGGTAGTTATGAAGCATCAGTTAACCTCTAACTTGAGCTAAGCTAAGTATCTTTGTTAGGTAGTGTTACTTCAGAGTAATTTGATTTACCTGCTTAAAAATAAACAAAAACAACTTCTTTGTTTAGCACAAAAGGGAATTGTGGTAGCATCAGAATGTTGGTGACATTGATTTAAAAATTGAGCCTTGTACTTAGAGCTTTTATATGACTAAAAGCCTTTGAAAACTGATAGCATAATAATGCAAGAAAATAATTTAAATCAAGTTTTATCTGTTGTAGGTTATTTTGCAGAGTCTTGTCTGATTCTGTCATCTGTTACCTTCAGATAGATGAATCTGACTTTTGCAATGTAGTTGGTGAATTTGTTTTTCCTTTATTTAATTTAAATAAAATTAGGTTCTTTGTAAATTTGTTCTACTGCCTGAATTTTAAAACTGATGGTTCAGGAAGAAGTTTTTTGAGGCACTTCTCTTTTTGTCTAATTTTATACCTGTTAGATCTGTTTTACAGAGACTGATTTTTTTTACCTTCATGTATCTGTGCACTATTGCTCAAACTATAGTTTTAAAGATATTACAGACTCAGGTAGTTTTTGTTTCCTCTCACAACACAATATGGTTTCCTGATCAAATTTATTGTAAACATTGTGATCAGTATGAGATTCAAATCTGTTACATATTTATAAACAACAAATTTTGGAATTCTGTTTATTTGAGGGCAAACCAATATAAATCTTTTTTCTTTCACCTCTCATAAAACTGATACCCATGTGATAAAAAGTCCTTTGAATATAGAAATTACTCTGTGACACTGTGGAGCAGTCAGTATTTGCAAAAATCATTGTAAATAGCTACGTTTTTTAAATGTCACAGTTAAGGGAAAAATACCCAAATAGATCCTTTGCTGATACTAGAATATATCATAAATATGTCCTGCATGGAACCTTTTTGACTACAGACAGAGATGGTTCCTCTCTTCTCTGATCTCTCATTCCATCTTCTACATGCTATTTATCTTGAAACATGTAACACTAAGTCCTGTTTTTTTTTCCTCTTTCTACCACTATATTCTGAACTTGAAAAAAAAGGAAATCTATCATTTATGTTCATTGTAGTATCCTTAGAACCTACCACCTTTGCCAGGCATGTAGTGAATTGCTCAGTAAATATTAGATGAATTAATGCTCATTGTGTGCCATTTTCAATATAAGATATTCTTAACATTTTTCTACCTTTGAAAATATAATGATGACCTGGTGTGGTGGCTCAAGTCTGTAATCCCAGCACTTTGGGAGGCCAAGGCGAAAGGATTTCCTGAGCCTGCAGGTTTGAGACCAGCCTGGGCAACATGGTGAGACCTTGTCTCTACAGTAAATCAAAAAATTAGCCAGGTGTGGTAGCACACGCCTGTAGTTCTAGCTACCTGGAGAGCTGAGGCAGAAGAATTGCCAGAGCCCAGCAAGTCGCTGCTGGGGTGGCCATGAGCATGCCACTGCACTCTAGCCTGGGCGACAGAGTGAGACTCCAACTAAAAAATACATACATACATATATATATAATGATTTGTTATCTTAAGTTTGTGGTACCTCTACGAGTACTCTATACTTCAGGTTTAATTCTGAGAGGCAAATAGATGGTGAACAGTAGTCACTTGAATTACATCTCATGGGAGTAACAAACTAGGCTTTCTGTAGGCATGCGGATGTGGGTAGAATAAATATGTATTTTTTCTAAAATAAAGATCATGGATAGGAGTACTTCTGCAGATTTGAATTAAGATATTTAATATGTAACGTCAGCACTGTATTTGGGAGCTAAAATAAATAGAAAGGGAAACTTGGTTTTTGTTGTCTTACAAAGAAAGTATTTTTGTTGTCTTACAAAGAAACAGCTTTCTGAGCTGAATTCAAAACAGAATGTTTAGCTTTTAAGAATATTTATCTTACTTTTAAAAAAATTAATGTGACCTGCTATCATACCATAGTACTGTATTTTAAGGAAAAAACAAACAGGCTGAGATGCTATACATTTTTAACTTAATGTCTGAATCTTCTCCTTAATAGCACAGTTGCAATTTTATATTTATTTTTGTGATGATTTGATAAATATCTATTTTAAATTAGACTAGAGGCTTCTGGGAAGATAAGAGCTAGATTAGTTTTGTTCATTTTATCTCAATGCCTACCACGGTGCAAATTGAGTACATAAATAAATGCTCACATTTTGAAATGGTTAAATGACTGGGCCAGTGATCTTTTAATTGTTTTCTATTCCCACACCATACTGCTCACATGAGCAACTCAACAGCATCTATTTGAGATACTGAAAGAGGGAAAGGGCTGTGTTCCCTATCTCTATCTCCTTCTTCATAATCACTGTTTTACCCAGTAGATTTGGGCACGTGATTCACTGTTGTTCATAGGGTACATTGCACAGATCCCCAAACTCTAAGCAGTACCTCCAACGTGAATGTTTTTTAAAGCCAAAGAAGAGAAGTCACATGGGACTTTTCATGAATAGTTCACTAGAAATCTATGTAAATTCAGATTTGAGTCTATCTTGATGCAAGTTAATCACTGTTAACAGTTTCTCTTGTGGCCAGGCACGGTAGCTCATGCCTTTAATCCCAGCACTTTGGGAAGCCAAGGGAAGAGAGTTGCTTAACTCCAGGAGTTTGAGACCAGCCTGGGCAACGTAGCAAGACCTTATCTCTACAAATGAAATAAAATAAAATAACCAGGCGTGGTGGTATATGCCTGTAGACTCAGCTACTGGGAGGCTGAGGCAGGAGGATTGCTTGAGCTCAGGAGTTTTGAGGCTGTGGTGAGCTGTGATCATGCCACTGGACTCCAGCCTGGGTGACAGAATGAGATCCTGACTCAAAAAAGAGTTTCTCTTGTATACATTCAGAAATCTTTAACATACATATAAATGCCCACACACAAGAGAGATACCAATTTTTATACAAGTGCAGTTAATTCTTGATTGATTTTTTTAAAATAATGTTGGACATCATTGTACTTCATCACATATAAAACTACCACATTCTTTATCATTCAAGACATTCCTTAATATGACATACCTTAATTTAACCAGTTTCTTATTGATGGATTTGGGGTTGTTTTTCTGGCTTTACCTTTAAAACAGTGCTGCAGTGAACTTGCTTATGTGCATATCTTTGTTTTGTACAAATAGCTTAGCATCTTTGCTTTTGAAAGTTCATTAGCTGGGTGCCCTTAGTTGGGAGGAAAAATTAATGGAAAATGCACTGAATATTTGTCATTCACT